GATGTAAAGTAGGCAGTTGGATATGAGTCTGGCATTCAGGGGAATGGTTGATGCTAGACATTTAATTTTGGGAGTTAATAGGATACAGAGAGATTTAAAGCCCTGAGACGGGATGAAGTCACCTGGCAAGTGAGTGTAAATGGATCCTCCCCCTAGTGTTTAACATGCTCCTATGATCCTCTTTCAGATCAGATTCAAGTTCAATTTGGGGGAAAAATACTTCATGGATAGTGTTATGGACTTACTATTACAGTCCATCAGGAAGCACTGTGGTTCTTTCTCTTCTTAAGTATTACCACTCTGGTCCATTTATTATAAAACTCCATCCCTATCAGGTTATGAATTAGTTGGTGTTAGCAACCATTGTTGATCATTTCCTGAATCCATTATTTCAACAGGGATGGCAAAATGGTGTTATCGGAAGTCTTTCCTTCCTTCTCAATTAGCTGAAACTCCTCACTAAAAAGATCTTTACCTCATCAACTCTTTGGTTAACCTGAGGTACAGTTTGTACAGGAAAGGTAAGATAAATGCTTGGAATTTTCTAAGATTGACCAGAGAGAGCTTTTTCATGGTGATTCCTGAGTTTTTTTAATAAGACCCTAGAAGCCTTTGATAGCTTCCTTGTTTTCCTGGTATGACACGAAATTCCAGGTTCATCTTATCTATTTCCTGCTCCAGACTTGAATTAGCCATTTCTCTAAGGGTCCTGCAACCCTTACTCTTAACCAGTGTGTGATATGGAGTAGTTTTAGAATGTTTTTTGTATCCTGTGGTCTTATGGTGATCTTTTTTTCTCAGAATATATTCCTGTTCTTGTGTGTACTGGTATAACAAAATAGAATGAACATACTTTTAAAATGCAACATTTTAATTTATATGTATTTTTTATTTTAGAGAGGGTAGCAGGAAGGGCAGAAAGAAAGGGAGAGATAGAATCTTAGAATCATGGAGCCCGATGCAGGGCTTGATCTCATGATCTGAGCTGACATCAGGAGTCAGATGCTCAACCGACTGAGCCACCCAGGCGCTCCAATTTATATTTGAATTACACAGTTTTGAATGACTTGATTTATTCATTAAGTCCTGCTTCCTTACAACATTTTTTAATTTAGTAACTCAAAAGTGAATTTAATGCCCAAAATACTACTTCTTGAATATAACTAATCTAAACCATGGAGATTATCATAAAGTCAGAACTGGGCTGATTTTAAAATGTGCTATACAGTCAGGCTTGGCATACTCTGGTTATTGCTCTCCCCTGCTCTCCTCTTCCCATTGACTTTTATTTGAACTTTTTTTTTTTTAATAGTTTGATACATGTTAAACTTTTATTTATCTGGAAGAAAAATGTCATTTTGTTGAGTTATGTTTTAGCTGAAAATTGGCTAAAAAATGATTTACAGTATTTGATACCTTGTTTTTGTTTTTTGTATTTTTTTTTTTAAATTTTATTTATATATTTGACAGAGAACGACACAGAGAGAGAGGGAACACAAGCAGGGGGAGTGGGAGAGGGAGAAGCAGGCTCCCTGCTGAGCAGAGAACCCGATGTGGGGCTCGATCCCAGGACTGCGGGATCATGACCTGAGCCAAAGGCAGACGCTTAACGACTGAGCCACCCAGGCACCCCTGTCTTCTCTTTTTTCATGTGTTCACCTGTCAGAATCTGGATAGAGGCAGGACAGCGTATTGGTGTAAGCCTGCGCAGGAATCCAGTGGTTCTGTTTTCTACTTCACTGGACAGTTTACAAGCAGACCAGCAGTGTATTTTTGTACATTCTTGCTAACATTTGGTATTGTCTGGATTTTTAGTTCTTGCCTATCTGTAGTTTTATAGTGATATCTCATTATAGTTTTAATTTGCATTTCTCTGATGACTCATGAGGCTGAGCACTTTTCCATCTTTATTGGCTATTAGGCTATTTTGTAAAGTGCCTTTAAGCCTTTTCCCCATTTCTCTGTTGGATTGTCTATCTTTCATTGAGCTGTGGGAGTTTTTTTATGTATTCTGGATATGAACACATCTATGGCTTATCTTTAAAATTTCTTTTAGGAGTGCCTGGGTGGCTTAGTCAGCTAAGCATCTGCCTTTGGCTCAGGTCATGATTCCAGGGTCCTGGGATGGAGCCCCACGTCGGGCTCCCTGCTCAGCAGGGAGTCTGTTTCTTCCTCTGCCCTCCCCCCTCTGCTCTCTCAAATAAATAAATGAAATCTTAAAAAAATAAAATTTCTTTTATATCATCTTAGGATAATATATTATCTTAGGAAAAAAATTATTTTACTGGAGTTGAACTTATTATTTTTGTGGCATTGCTTTTTTTTTTTTTAAGATTTTATTTATTTATTTGAGAGAGAGAATGAGATAGAGAGAGAGAGCATGAGAGGGGGGAGGGTCAGAGGGCGAAGCAGGCTCCCCGCTGAGCAAGCAGGGAGCCCGATGCGGGACTCGATCCCGGGACTCCAGGATCATGACCTGAGC